CTTACCTTCAGTCCGTCATAATCGTTTATTTCAACTTAGCAGGGCACTCCCATTATCACTAAACCTTACACAATAGACGTAATAGAAGAAGTAAGTATTTGTTGCTTGTTTTAACTTCTACTACGTGTGGGTGCAAAATAAAATACGACTTTGATCATATTTTGTGCATTCATTTTTATATTAATTCCTTCATTTTAGCCCATTATTTACTTCAAATTTATGATAATTACATAACTTGCCTTAATTTCAATTTTTTCAATGTATCTGAAATTATCTTTTGTTAAGGCCCCGCTGTGGGTCTAAACTTGTGGTTCCACGGCTATATAATATTATTACGTTTAACCGTTTCTCGCATCTGGCTTCATTCTTTTCAAGTCTATCCACTGTGCTGATGTATTCTCGCATAACTTCTATCATGTACGGCATAGCAAAGACCTTAATATTATGTTTGCAAGCGATTTCTGCTAAAGCATCAAGTCCCAATAAGCTGCGAAACGATCGTCCACACCATACTCCAAAAGCCATACCATTAACTCCTTAGCAATCTTTTGTTTATCAGATTCAACGGTCCTTCCTTATATAAGTAATCTTTTTTCAATAGCCCTATACTGCAGTTGTTATTGCCTTTGTATAAAGATAAATAGAATTCTTCGGAATTAATTTAATTAACGTTTTTTCAAGACAATGGTGCCCGAATTATCGAACACTTCTATAGAGTAGCGTAATCCTTGATAAGGTTTTTCTTCATAAATCAATCAGAGCTTCATTGGTAGCGTTGTTATTTAATAATTGTACTGAACGTAGGTATCACCTAATCAACGCCATATGTCCTGTTTTTATAAAGAAGCCCACAGCTCTATAGTGAGTCTACTCTACTAGGCATAGGATATCGTTGAACAACAACGGGTTATAACCTAAGTGCAAGTGAAATTGAAAGAGCATCTTCTTGCAGTTGATTCCAAACGACAATTTGGTTTGCTATGTCAGAAGCATTACATTTGTCCAGACGGTTGATGTAATCTATGACCCTAGCGCGATCAACTTTATCGGCTGTCATTATCGAAAAGTTTGATCAACCAAAAAGACTGAAGAATCTAAAAGGATTTTCTTCAATACCCAATAAACTCTTTGGGTAGAATAACGGCGACAAAGCTCTTAACTGAGCCCAAGATATGATATAAGATGACGTTGTCGCTTTTTCGAACGATTCGCGCTGGCATTGCCCTCTTCCTGGGCGCCATGGTTCGAACAATAACCACCAACTGCGCGCCAACTGTCATTGCATTGGTTATTGGATTAAAGGAAACGTTGTGAGTTTTTGCTCGAATCCATCCTCCGCGCTTGGTTTTAGAAAAAGGTGGTCCAAAGAGCTTGATGATCCCAACATTACGAAAAGGCTGTATATGTGTTTGGTTAGACCCATACTCGAGTATGCCTCTGTTGTGTGGTCCCCTTTATATAGGTGCTATGTAGATTCAATTGAATCTGTTCAAAAGCAATTCTTGCTGTTTGCCCTTAGAAATTTTGGGTTGGAATCCGATTGCCTCTCTTCCTCCCTATGAAAATAGGTTGCTCCTGCTGTCCTTACCGTCTCTTGAGAGTCGTAGGTTTGTCCTTTATAATCAAAGTAATAAATGGTGCTATTGACTTGCCTTTATTACTTGGTGAAATAAGCTTTAATGTCCCTAACCGCTTCTCTAGGCACTTTATCTTGGTTAAGCTTAGTCAGTGTAAATATAATTATGAGCTGTTTAATCCGCTCAAAGTAGTTTGCAAGAACCTAAATGACGTCTATCACTTATTCTCGTTATCGGACTCTTTAAAATTCATAAAAGCAACATTGCTTAATGCGCGTAATTTACCTATGTCGTACTTAAACTTGCTCTTAACCTTAAAAAGTCATTATGATTTGAAAATTAGTTGTTGTTAACTATTATCGGTTGCCAAGCTTATGCATGTTTGGGATGGCTTAGGGGTTCACTTGCAATTTGGTCCTGTACCGGCTGCAAGTGTGGCTCTATGCTGGTTGTGTACATGCTTTTTTTCTTTTTCCTTTTTTTTTTCCGTCTTATTTGTTTTATTGTACTTATACTAAGTTATATTATTAATTTAATATAAGTTTTGCTTTAAGCGCCAATTAAACTTGACTGTTATTTGTTTAGTCGAGTTTCATGTATAAGTAGAATTAAAATAAATAAAATAAATAAAAGCAATACGTTTGGTTGGCTCCATACAACTCTCACATACTAGAAACTCTAGCCTAGTAGTGAAATTTATGAACGATTTCGTTTTTCTACTTCTTCATTTAATTCGTTATACAGTAAATTACCCTTTTACCGCCAAAAGCAAGTTTTAATAAAGTCCTCGGAAGTATCGAAATTATCGTAATATAAATTCAAAATAAAATATTGGGCGATTTCGAATCTGTCGCACAAAATAATTAAAAATAATCGATCAGTTAGCTCTACTTCCTTTAGAATATCATTAACAAGCTTAGCGTTGTAGCCATTTCATTCGCAACATGTACGTTCGACTTCTCTAGTTTGGTTGATTTTGCATGCAGTCTGGATATACCTGAACTGAGGTTGAGGATCGTTGAAATACATATAAGTATATATAATACAATTTAATATAAATATATATGTAATATAATACAGTATAATACAAAAATATTGTATATAATATAATAATAATAATTAAGAGTCCGAAAATAAGATTTATAATTATATGCGCATGTAATAATAACAATACGATGATATTTATTTATTTAAAAGGCCGGTATTTAAAAGGACGTCAGAAGAAATCTCGTTACTAAAATTCCGCACAAGTTACGTTTACTAAGACAATAATACATAGCTATAGGACCTAAGCAATAGAAGGATCTTTGTACGAACTCTCGAAGAGATCGTTTAAAGCATTGGCAGTTAATTGTTGGTGATATTTGGTAGCGATTTGTACACAAATTTGCAAATCCTGGCGCATAATCACATATAAAAAATATAACGCTCGCTTTCTTTTTAAAATATTTTTACTAAAGGGCTGAATGCTAAAGTAAAAGCTAACTTTCAGTTACGTGCTTACCCCCTGAGTCACTGAGGAGCTGATTATCTATTTTTTAATTAACTACCGCTCGTTTGAAAAGCCTACCTTGGGAATCATTTGTATGAGGATTATGTATGACTTATATCATTCGACATTTATTTCGAAAAAATTATAGGAAAATAAGGAGCGATTTTAACGTTTGTTTTGCTTACACTCGTACAATTAATAATAAAACAAGAAAAACGTAAATAAAAACAAAATTATGCAAAATTTTTGATAAAATGTAATGAAACGAAGTAATTTCATATTATTCATACAATTTCTCATTTTCATTTGTAAAGAAAACTTTAAATTGTAAACTTTAACTTTGGTTTTTATATAATATTATGTTTACACATTAATATATGAATTTATCTATAAAGAATATACAATGTTTTAAAATTAATTGCAAATCATTCCTAGTTTTTTATTCAATAAATAAAAGTAAGCTATTTAAAAACATCTTAAAGCGGATTTATTTAATTCAATACAATTCAATTTAAAAGTGCAGGAGATATGCCGGTTATTCTATCCTCCGTTATTCGCCTCAATTGCAAGGCCTCTAGAGAAAAGTTGACACCGTCGTCAAAGTAAGCTTGCATTGATTCAGGAAATCAAAAGGTTACTGCCATAATTTCTATATGGTCGCAGTCCTTGCGAATAAAATATTGATATGTGTATGCGCAAAACCATTTATATATGTAGATTAACTCAGCACCAGCCCACTAAAGGTATATTTTCCTTTTTTTAGTGATAAAGAAGATTGATTAGATAAAAAATTTAAACAAATGGCAAGATATTGGAGAAGACCAATTTTTGAAACGCATCATATTGAGCAAGTTTTTACGACATCGCTTGTGCAAATTGCATTGTATTTGAACGACCATGAGAATAAAAAATTTGATGAAATTTAAAAAATAGCCTTTATAGCTTGCCTTCCATTTTTTACAAAATAATGCATATCATGCAAAAAACTAAAATCTCATTTTTTTCGATTCAGAACGATGTTATCCGTTACGTTTTTGGCGAAAAACGGAAATTTCAGTTTTTTCGATTTACGGCAATGTTGCTCCTTACATTTTTGACAAAAAACGAAAATTTCATTTTTATCGATTTAGAGCGAAAAACGGAAATTACATTTTTTTATATCATAAACCAAAATTTGCAAAATGTGTATTAGTGTAAAATAAACAAAAACTACCTATATACCTTTAAAATTTAAAAGAAACGATCATTATTTCTTCTTTTTGTTTTATTTAAATACTTACTTCAAGACGTAGATAATCATATAGAGTTATTTAATTTGGCTTTTAATGAAATTTCGAGCAGCAAATGGCGAATGGATGAGCATTGGTTAATCAACATATAATCATATGTTAATTAAGAAGATGCATATACTTTTAGCAGAAAAATCGAAAATCACTATTAGTTTATACAAATAATAATAATAAATAAACACAAGAATCCGGCCTAGAAATGTTCTAATCCGTTTTTCGTACAGTGTGAATGTAAAATTAAATGATTTTGTACTAAAAGCACTTCATTTTATTGAGAAAATACAACTCTGTTTCTTTGTCTCTATTATATTATTATTTTTTGTCATTCTGCATTTCTTAACCGGAAAAGGCGTTGTGACGAATCTGGCAGCATTTAAAAAATATGTTCTTTTTATTGCGAACGCTATTTCTGTTTGCATCGACGGTAGTTTTTCCAAAAGAAAAAGTAAGTAAATTGTGTGCACAGACTTTAAGATAATGCAACAAAAAAATGGTATTTACGGTCTTTTCTTCTCTATAATTTTACCGAAACAAAAATAAAATTATTTACGAAGGCTGCGAAGCTGGAAAATTGTTTGAGGTTATGTGTGTGCAATGCAAGTGTCAAAATATGTATATTGAAATAAAAAAGGTGCACGTGTGATATTGCAAGTCCAAAACTAAAATCAGAAAGGCATAATATTACACCCTCTTTGATATTCAACTGGACAATATCAAATTTTATGATTTACTATTCCTCTTAAGGATATCGGCTTAAAGATAAACTCCTTAATAAAGTTCAAAAATCAACATTTTCATGTACATTATGTAGTGTTTAAAACTTGGTCTAGGATTAATAAATAAATACTTTTGCATTGCAATTGCAGGATGGCTGAAGTTATGGAAAATGTTACGGAAACATTCGAGGAGCAGCCACCCATTGAGACGGAGGGTGCTGAGACTCTAATGGAAACTAACATGATGACAACCACAGAGTTGCCAGAAATTAAATTATTTGGTCGCTGGTCTTGTGATGACGTTTCTGTAAATGATATATCGCTGGAAGATTACATTTCTGTTAAGGAGAAGTTCGCACGTTATTTACCACACTCTGCCGGTCGCTATGCTGCCAAACGATTTCGTAAAGCCCAATGCCCAATTGTCGAACGCCTAACGTGTTCACTAATGATGAAAGGCCGCAATAATGGTAAAAAGCTTATGGCATGTCGTATCGTTAAGCATTCTTTCGAAATCATTCATTTGCTAACCGGCGAGAATCCTTTGCAGGTAACTTTTTTTGACCCATATTTTTCAAAAACGTCTTGTGCTAAACTATTAAAAATGAATACATGAAATGTAAACCAATTCTTTAGTAGGTAGATCGAGACGTAAATTATAATTGAATTACTTAAAAGAGTTCAAATGCCAGCGCATTGAAAGCATTTGACAATAAATTGTAGTAATTACACGTGAAACATGGAAAAACGTTGTGATTTAATTAATCAAACTTTATGTTGCAGATTCTTGTTAGCGCTATTATCAATTCGGGTCCCCGTGAAGATTCCACGCGTATAGGTCGTGCTGGTACCGTGCGTCGTCAAGCTGTTGATGTGTCGCCTTTGAGACGTGTGAATCAAGTAAGTACTTTTCACTCAATCAAAAACTTAATCGCCTGGGACAATATCTTTCCTATTTTCATATAAAATATATGAAAGACTATAACACCAGGCAAGAATAAAATTCATGTTTAATCCGTAGCATTATTGCACCCAATATGAATGGTCTTTAGTGTATGAATCAACATAACAATAACACTCTATAATAATTGCAAATATTCCGGGTATTGTTGTACGTTGTTGGAATTCTAGAGAAATATAATATATTAGGTGGTGAAGGATTTCCCTACCTTTATAATGAAAACGACTAAAGTACAGTCACACTGTAATTAGCCTCGTAGCAGCATTGTGTGGGTTAAAATTATTAATTGTTAGAGCTGATAGATTTGAATTCCTAGTGGATGATAATATTAATTTTTTCTTCATTACGATCAGGTCGTAGATATAGTACATCTATGAGTTTACATGTTATGGAATACTTACTTATTCGTAGCATTTTTCCCAACATTATCATAAGTGTTTGTAAAATGTTCTTTAAATTTGAAAAAACAAGTAAATGGAAAGCGAGCAGTATTAGAAGGTTCAGTTTTAAGCTGGATGTGAATTATTCCTTTGATATAAACATCTTTTTTATGCTAAAATCTAATACGTTGTAATTTTGCATTTCAGGCCATTTGGTTATTATGCACTGGCGCTCGTGAAGCGGCTTTCAGAAATATTAAGACTATTGCCGAGTGTTTAGCTGATGAATTAATTAACGCTGCTAAGGTTAGTAAATATTGGTTTTATTCTTCTAATTTTTTTTTAGGTCTACTTAAATGCTATGCAATGTTTTGCCAAATTGCTTTGTTTCGCTTGTAGACTAAACGAAGAAGGAATGAACTTTAGTTTTATTATCCTAGCAATAAAATGAAGCGTTTATTCAATTATTGCTCGAGAAACGTAAAACTACATTTATTTTTAGCGGAGAGTGCTTAATTTGTAGTCCTCTCTAATGCCATGTTGCGTCTATGAGAATGTAACAACATGGCCTCGCTTATGGACGAGATTAAATAGAAAGTTTTATATATCCTAGCATTTGAAATTATTTAAAAGATTTTCCAAATGCACGAGGAACATAAAACTACACCTAAATATGCTTTGTTTGAGAATTTAATTTGCGTAATTTTCTCTTATTCCAGGGCTCCTCAAATTCGTATGCTATTAAGAAAAAAGACGAATTGGAACGTGTTGCCAAATCAAACCGATAAATGCTGCATACATTTATTTTGTGTACATAAGTTTAGCGCAACATTTTTTAAATAATAAACACAACTATAAAAAAATTTATATAATTTTTGTATAAGTACTTTTTTTCATGTTAAAAGAAATTTTTGCGTTCATATATTCGAACTAAATTGGGTTTTATGGTGTATTTCCAATTCTTTTAGAGCGATTTTCTCCTTTATTTCTAATTCGCGCATTGCTATTCTTTCCTTCATTTCTAATTCGCGTTGTTTTAGTTCAGCTTGCCATTGTTGCTCCCGAGCATTCAATTCATACTGTTTTTGGAATTTCTCCCTCTCAAGTTGAAATTTTTCCAATTCTAATTGTTGTTGCTTTTCTCTCAATTGAAATTCTCGCAAATGTTTCTCCCTCTCCCAGATCTCGTCATGTTTCCTTTCAAATTTTTCCTCAACGCCCGGTATATTCTGTATTGAATTAGGAATATCATTATCCGTCTGTTGTTGTTCATTCAATTGCAGTAAATCTGAACGAATTTTCAAAGCATTAGAATTAGAATGATATGTGCTATCGGAATTTGTTCCAGATAATTCAACTATATCTATGTGGGTGTCATTAACTGACGAATCGTAGATCTCTTGTTTATTTTCCATCGATATTTTCATAAAATTTGTAGAATTTTGAAAACTATCGCTATCCGAAAGCACCTCATTACTAATAACATATTCAGATTTCTTATTAAAAACATCATGTTTATCAGCAAAAATTTCATCTAATTCATTGAAGTATGGACAAATTCGGTGTACCGCTTCTGAAAAGTTCAAAAGAGAATATGAACTTTTCAAATAAAATGCGAATAACTACCTTTGTCTAGCTCTAGCAAATTTGCTGTTGAGTTTTTAGCTTTCGCATATGAAGTTCGTAAGTTTCTGACCTTATAACGTACTAAATTCCATTCTGTTGGAAATACCGTTTCATCTATAAATCTTTTATAGAATATTTGAGCTGTGGGTTTCTATGCAGAAGGAAAACAACAATAAATAAATATGGTAAATACATTTATTACCCTCTAGCAGAGAAAGATTTTCGCGCATTTGACTTGTCGCACAAAATCCTGCTCGCATATATCCTCCATATGGATGTTCTGACCTTCAAAGGTCACTTTAAGCGAGTATGGAAATTCCTAATTGTATTTGCAAGAGCTTACCTCAAATTTATCAATGTTTTCTTTAAGAAATTTCAATATTTTTCGGTGTTCATCTTCTGACCATTTTCTGTTTGGTGCTTTCCGTTGTCTTCTCTTGAAAATCTATATAAATAATTCTATCGAAGTGTAAATTTATTATTGTCTAATAATTCTGACCTTTTTCCGACATTCCATTTTTGTTTTTGTTAAAATTTCTTGCCTTCTTAACCTTAGTTACACAAATAACACATTCTCCTTTGTGTATAAGTGGGGTATATTTGCAATACTATTTTTTATATACACATCTACATATACACAATTTGTTAACATCACTTATATGTGAAGTGAATTAAACGGATTATCAAAAATTAACTTTTAATAAAATAATTGTGATAATAATTATCTGTAGTAATAAATATTAAAGTAATAACAATCTTCGAGTATTTTACTAAAATAGAACAACAAAAAGATGCTCTCTGTGTTAAAGTTGTGTTAAGAGAGTTCGTATATAAACATTAGTTGTGAGAAGAAGACAATACCAATTGTCTGAATACTGCTATAGTTATGTGTATTATTATACACTGCTGTGTATACTGCTCTAGAAATAAGAATTAGCGGCAACGTTTAACTTACATCAAACTTTACAGGCTTCCGGTTTTAGAAGTCAATAAATTAATACTGAAAGTGTACGTTGTAACATTGTAACGTTACGTTGTGATCGATCAGTGATTAGCAATAAATGTTTAGTATATTTGATTGTAGTGTGCGTATGAAAAGAAAGATTTAAATTAAATGCAATAAAGTAAAATCATGTAATAAAATCATTATAAGATCATAAAAAGAAAGAAGTTCTTTTTTTTTTTTAAATAAATAAATGTTCATTAAAGTTTAATTTAATGAATTGGTTTTAAAATTAAGTAAAGTTTTTTTTTTTATTAAATGAAACAACAAGTGATTATTTTCTAATAAATAATAATAATTTTATAAATTGTTTACGCAACTTAGCTCAGGAATAGATTAGCAAAACTTGTGTATAACAAGGTAAAAATTTAATTGATTTAATTAAAAAATTTCTTACGACATCTCTTATAGAATAATGGAAGAAAAAAGGATTTAACGCCATTTTTCTCAATACAATGCTTTACACGCAAACAAAACGAAAAAAAAAAATATTTACAGTTAACTGGAGAAAGAAAAAAAAGAGAAAATTGTCCAAAAGATGCTATATTCAGCTTTGGTCGAAACTTGCGATACGCTCTACGGTTTTACGATTTTATTATGACTGCGTCTGAAAAAACAGTAAAGTGAAAATTGCACATTTATGTAACAAAAATTAAAATTGTTTACAAAAACAATAAGTCTTCAGAACTAATATTTCTTGCAAATAGGTTAAAAAAGTTTTTTTCATGACAGACCCATAATTTGTTAAGCGATCACTTCAGTTGATTCAAATCAATATATTTACATAACGTACATTAAGCCGTAAAGGCATTCAGGCTATTCTGTCTGTTTAAAATTGACTGCTTGGCCGCGAAAATAATGTTTCTAGAAGTTTAATTTTAATATTTAATGGCAATCTAGTTCGAACCGATATAATCTATGGAATGTTTGACATCAATTTTGCCTTTTTGATCCAAAGACCAAAATCGAAAAACGACGTGGTTTTAAATTCGCATTCATTAAGAACCTGAGGATATAGATGAAAAAATGGAAAATTGTGAAATTAATAAAATGTTATTTATTCCTTTACTCCTTCACTTATAAAGCACATCCGCCGAATATATGAAATTTTAAAGCAATTTTATTTATTTCATAGAATTTGGTTCATGTACCTACACATTTTCCCTTTCAATTAAAATTTTAAAAGCTTAAAAGGATGGCAGAACGTTTTCACAGGTATGTCAATAGAAATGATACTATTTTTATTTCTGCTTATAAGCAAAAAAGTCAATAAATATTCAATTTTCATTACATATGAAAACGATGTTAAAAACAAAAAAGCATTCGCCAGGATGATATATCAAAAATATATATGAATTGCAATGCGAATCAAATAACAACGCAGACTCAACTAACCCCAATTAATCAGCATATGCAACCACAGCGGTACTTTGGTACCGAGCTAACCAGTTTAGCTTCAGCCTTGAAAAGTGATTTTGATTATTTGACTAACGCAAGATTGTATTCTACGCCTATATCGAGATCTGTTGTCGATTTAAATAACAATCGTATATCTTTGTCAGAATACAGTGGTAATCGTAATACTAATTAATTATTGTTATTCTAGCAAATTCTTAACATACATGCGCTTATTTAATTTCTTCAGTAAACAATTACACTACCATGAACAGTCAAAATGCATATCATAATCATCAACATATACCAACACTAGTAACCAATCGCCATTATCCAAATGCTAATCAGTTAAATCAGAATAGCTTTCATCATAATCGTTTTATGCCCTATAGTCGTTCAACTTATTTAGCGAATCACCATGACCCTAATCATCAAACTAATTCTATTATATCGGGCGGTTTACCATCAAACAACAGATATTATGGAATGGCTCAATGTTCAGAAACTGTATTTCCAATCTGCCCGTCACCACTGATGGCCCCTTTATGCTACAATGGCCCATTAGTTCAGATGCCAGCAACAACAACAAGTTTACATTGCACTACCCCATCTACAGCCAGCTCTCTTACACAAAACTTGTTGGCTCCAGAACTAAATTATGTTGCAGTGACAGGAAAAACCACATCTACTATAAAAGACCAAGGCTCAAGTTGTACTGCAGTTGCACAGTCTACTACAAATAAAAGTCTCGTAACTTCTCTTGGTATGGCGAGCTCTGCGAACGTAACTCCAGCCAGAAGCACATGCGCCCCAACAAGTCCCAACGCTACCGCTGATACTGTTACGTTACAAATAACCAATTTAGATTATTCCATGGATGAAGCGAGCTTAAGAGCTTTCCTCCTTGGTCAATTGGAGCCTATAACTCCAGTAATTTCGCTAATTTTTGAGGGCAGTTCCTATGCAAAGGTTTCTGTGCCCGACATGTATGTAAGTTTTGATAACAATCTTACCTAAGACCAAACAAATTTTTTTTACTTTTTACTATAATGATCAATAGTTCGCAAAACTGGTGGTATCTAATTTACATCGCAAGAAAATTGGCCACAAGCGTATGTTGGTCTCTTATACGCGTGACTCTTCGCTTACCGAATTCAATACTCTACGTTGCCAAGTTGCTGGTTTATTAAAGGTATTAGAAAAGCGAAAATACGAGACATTAGATTTATTATAATGATGTGCGGTTTTAGGATGTTCCCTCTTACACTTTACCAATGTACAAGTTTCGAGAACTTTTCCAGTCGCGCTTCAAGACATCAATCAGTGTTTTGGATTTATATAAAATGCCAGATATTTGCATTATTAACGCTGACAACAATGAGGACAAATTTATTAGTTTGCATCCTGAGTTGGTCAATTCATTCGAGAGCTCACCTCTAATGGAAGGGTTGCAGCACAGTGTTCCTTATTGCACCATACACTTTAAACGAGAGCAACATAAAGGTTGGGCTGAACAAGAGATTGAACCTCTGCCTAATGTCTGCATGTCTATCGCGGAAATAGAGAACATTATACACCCGCTATTAAAAACTCATGCCGGCGATATCCCAATAGCATCTTTAGTACATTGTATAGAAGGACAATTGAATACACATATTATTCCCGATGAGAATGGAGTCAATTTGGAACATTTAGTTTGTTGTGTGCAAGGTATTCAAATACAAGTAAATAATTTTGGTATAAAAATACTAACTTGGGTGGACATAAATAACAATAATAACAACAAGGAAAAGGAGAATATAAACGCGGCCATCTGCGCTTTAGGAGGTGGGGGAAGTATTAGTAATGAGAAGGGTAATTCGCATGGGAAAAATCCAATAGCAGAAGCTTTACACCAAATCTCACGCGAAGTTATGGAGTTGGTGAAAATGTCGCCAAAAGCCACAATGAAATTCAATCGATTCATTCCGGCCTATCATAACCATTTTGGCAAACAATGCCGTGTCGCCGATTATGGTTACACCAAACTTATTGAACTCTTTGAAGCCTTGTCGCCAGTCATACAAATCATGGGGGACGGCGAGAATCGACAAATAACACTTACGCATCGCATACAAGTACGACGTTTTACTTCGGATCTATTAAGGATATTACGAACACATTGGAGCAAATCAATATTATTGTCCCAACTACCGACCATTTTTGCTCAAACCCAGAATCGTCAATTTGATATAACCGACTATGGCGTTTGTGAACTGACAGACATATTCGATGGTTTGGTTAACACAAATATTGTGCTAATAATGCCGGCTCACGGTGGTAAGGATTTGTTAATATCAATGCCTAAGCGCGAGCAGACTTCGAACGAACTGGAAAAAACTTGTATATTTGCTGGCGAAGTTGTTGAACTGTTTCGCAATGCACCTCAATATAGTATATTGTTTCAAAAATTTGTTCGTTCTTATCATTACCACTTTGGCTATCAATGTCGTTTAAGCGATTACGGGTTTTTGAGGTTGGCTGATCTTCTGGATGCTATTAATGGTGTTGTGGAAATAGAATTAACTAGTGATGAAGATAAGAAAATCTCGCTGTCACCTGTAATAGCACGCCGCATCTTTGCGAAACAATGCGAAGAACTTATTCGCGACATGACCGGTTCCCCTAACACATGCGTAAAATTAGATGAAGTATTAAAAATGCATAAAAAAAAATTCGGTTATCAAATGCAATCGCATGCTTTGGGTGCTAAGAATATGACTGAAGCTGTACAGTTGATGCCTTACGTTGAGGTAAATACTTTAATAAATAATCAAATAAAATGCAATTAAATAACGTTTAAAAATTTCTAGTTGACTATGAAGGGCGAGTGCTCCTGGATCATATGCCATGGTGAAGAAAAAAGTTTTCGTAATCAATGCTATCGAGCTTGTAAATATTTATTGACTTTAGAGGGAGAAAAGTGTGAACAGAAGGGCGAAAATTTTGAAGCAGAGAAAACTCAACTAACCTTAACAAATTTCATCTCTAATTTTAATGAGAAACACAAAGAAGACTTAACTGAAACAAAATTGCGGGCCATGAAGCATGCGATTGAAGTAAGAATTCTCATGATATTTTCTACGGAATTTAAAGTTAATTTTTTTATCGACAGTTAAAGTTCAAAAATAATGAATACTATCCTTGCCTAACGAATTTTATTAAGTTCTTAATGAGTATAGTATGTCTATTGGAAAGCAAATCATCCATGACAGTGTTGGAAATCAAAAGCGCTCTCGACTGCGACATTCAGACTATATCCCAGTACGGCTATCCAAGTTTATATTCGCTAATTACATCACATACCGATATCTTTAATGCTGGTCCCATTCCCACGCAGGAAAAAGCAGTGGTTACGCTCGTTAAGAACACTGAAAGTAAGTTTGTACTGACGTAAACATACAAATGTGATAACTTAAAAATAAACCCTTTCACAGTGCATTTGAAAGCCTTCGCGAACAATAAATCTCTGTTTGATGCTTTGAAGTTGCCCTTCAGTAAACAAAAAGCCATGCGCTCTACTCGAACGCCTCTAAGTGAACGCAATACCCATGGCTCACTTGCAAATAATCAAAAGCCGCCACCAGTCAAAACTCGAACTCTGTCGAACGATGTTGGCAATACGAGTTGCAATTCATTTCAACAGGCGGTCAGTTCCAATCACCTACTCTTAAATGTCAGTGGTAAAAACGCTTCCAATACGCAAAACAATTTAAGTAGCTATTCTTCCGCGCATTCTTCATTGGAATCGAATGCTTTAGATACTTCGCTCATTGCTTCAATTGGCAAAGAAAATTCATTAAACTCTTCAGCAACTCTTAGCAATTCATTTAGTGGCAGCAATCAGTCTTATTCGTCGTGTTTCACTGGCGACCTTAACAACAGTAACAATAATAATAATTTAAGTAACATAAATTTGCCGCCACCATATGCAGTAATGCCAGTGTCATCAGCATCCTCCGCTTTGGTTTTTACTGATCAGATAATTAATAACCAGCATCAGCAACAAAATCATCATCATCTTCGACAAGCATTTTATTCGAACACTAACTTGTCTGATCGACGTCACAATTCTGCATTTTATCAGCAGCAAATTCCGACATATTTAGGTAATAAGATAACAAATAACAACGAGTTGAATTGTACGGCATATGTTAAAACAACGGAAGCTTCGACAGGCTTTTACGAATTAGTCAATAACATGCGCATGTGCCCTATGTACCAGCCTCCAAAACCGGATACACCTCCTGCAGATGTAAGTAATCTAAATCTTTTTTCTTTCAGATCTTTCAATTTGCTTTTAGAGATACGCACAAGGCAATAGTTAGCACAGATTACAAATTGATTTATATTCGGCGTTTGCCAAAAAATGTTGATCACTTTTTCACTTGAAAAGGACATTTATTGAGGAAAATTGTTACATCGCGCTGGGTACGGCAGAACTTCCCATTCGAGCTGCAAGAGTGTATCTTGACGAATGCTTGCAACAAATGGCAAAAAAAGGCATATTCAGGCAATTCATGCCGCCGAACCAAAACTGGCAATGAGGATATGATCGGACAGCATCGCCATAAGCCTATGAACCTATGTTTGGCGAGCTTCGGCAGTAGATTTCTTCAAACAAACAACAAAAGAAATGAATTTGGAAGAAGAATTTTGAGCACCCCATGATTAGCGTCGTCCTACGATGAATTAATCAATGATATTAAATGGAGAACTATTATTTTATATAGAGGAAAATCAAAACCCTCGAATTCAACCGTTATGTACACTAGTATCTTCCATTTCTTTATCAGTTTTACCTGCGGAAGGCGCTGATCAAAATTTTTGCAATCACCTAATACATCAATTTAGAAAAGTCTAACGCGTTTTTGTAGCGGACACGGCTTGTTCACATATCTTAACTTACATTTAAGTTCTCCCCTTGGAATGCTAAATATTTGCATTCCAATTACTCTACTTTAGACAGTAAATGCCAATTTAATGATCGATTATTCAGTCCAGTTGAACCAGTTTGCTTTCAAAGCCATCTCCATGTCATTGTCTTAACCATTTATATTGTAGATTATATCAAGAAATACTGTAAAAAAATTGTAGAGAAAGAGAAAGAGAGAGAGAGAGAGAGAGACTGAGTAAATTCGACAATTTAAAAATGCTGCAGGAATGAGTGGAAATTTTTTATTTGTTGCTTTTCTTCGTTTTTTTAGAATACACCATTTTGGATTGATCCGATTTGGACTAATAATAATAATAATAGTGCCGAAAGACCACCGAATGATTTGGTAAGCTTATGCAATATTTTTCCCTTTCTTTTATACCAATGATGTTTGAAGTTTTAAATCTTGCCTTTTCTTAGCTAAATATACGTCTTCCCGAGCTTAGAGCCCTTAACGTCTTGCCAATGCTTCTATCACCTTATTCTATTTCAAAAATTGAAAATATGAAACAAGTTTTCAATTTTGAA